TGAGGTTTTGGCTTTGAAAAGGGTTGCTCCTTTGCCCCCTCCCAGACACACACACACGTTGTAAAGGACCTTCGGTAACTTTGGAAAATGAGATCTTAGTGATTTGTGACATTTTGTGACATCTTTCAAGCTTGTCTCATTTGGGAAAGGACAGTTACTTACAGGGTGCACAGGTGCTGATTTATGGCATTTCTGTCTAAATAGATGAGAAACTTCTAGTAGAAAGCAATCACTTTATTTCCTACCATACAACTTCATTTCTGCTTACTCTTAAGTATTTACTTTATAGTGAGTAACTCTGGCAAAATCAGCTGTAATTTTAACTGTGAGCATTTTCATGGCCCCAAAGATTTTAGTGAACGGTCATATTAGCATTTGAAGTAACTGTTGGAAGACAGAAGCACTCTGTGCTCAGCCTGCACTCTTTGATAGCACCAATAGCTCAAATTTAAAGGGCGTTTATCTGAATTACATATAGTTGGGCATCACTCTGATTATCCATCCTTATATCTTAATGCAATTGAACTTGAAGCTCAGGTTGAGTGTTTCTGAAACATTTTGCTTACTCAAGCATACTTTTTAATCTGGATGTTTTGATGATTATTACTTTGGAACAAACCTGAAGTTTGAAAGCAAAGATGTAAACAACTGATTTTTATTCTTTAAAAATTGGTTTGATTCCCTGGTACTATTATGAGGGTACTATTTCTATTCATAACAGCCACTTCAGTTGTAGGTTTCTTGTTCTGTCAGTTGTCTAAAATGTTTCATCAGATTCCCATAGAGCTTGTTTACCTCATTTCTGCTGTTTGGTCTTACTAGTTCCTATTCTGAGTTACTTGTTTGTGGTTTGCAAAATCTGTATCTTTTATTAAATTAAAGATGACTTTTTTTTTTACAGGCATTCTTTTGTATTCGTTGTTGAAAGTAGACAAATGAGCTGTGACTAAATTATTCTGTATTATATTTTTTCTAGTGTGGGATAAGAATAATATTAACGTTTCTTTAAATGCAAAAAAAAAAAAAGTATTTTAGCTAGTGGAAAGCCTTACAAGTGGAGTCTGAATGGTTTTATTTAAGGCATTCCATACCTTTCCAGGCAGTTTACTCTGTTAAATTTGATTCTGACTTCACTAAATGTGCTAAATAATACTTGAATTGCTTACAGAAAATAGGTGCACACTTAACTATTAATCATGTTGATGATCAACTCAGTAGCTATTTCTAGAATGAGCAAACATTTATGCAAGACTTATTTGTACATCTGAAAGTCTAGATCCGTTATCTTGCTGTCACTGATTTAATATTTTGTGGATAGGACTTCTTCCTTGCCTTGCCCATTTATACGTAAAGATCAGAGTGCACCACAGACTAATGCAGATCCCTTGGAATCCTGAAGGTTTAAGCACAGATTATTTCATTCACTTCCAAGCTAATGATGAGGCTGAACCCTATTTATACACAACTGTGTTCTCCCGTCCCTGCTTTGATGGATGCTGCTGATTTGTGATGCAAAATTCCATGATAAAATTTGACTGTGTAAGCAAGAAGGACGTAAGAATCTTACTTAAAAAATACACATGTATAAATAAATTTATGCAAACATCTGGAAGACGTCAAATTTGGTCTGTCTTGCATCTCAGTATGTTTTTTCTTTTTTTGTAAGAAGGCTAAATTGATTTAAGTTTAAACTTCGATTATTTTTGAACAGGAAGAAATGGTGATTAACTCATGAAATTTATTGCAAATACCTTATTATTTTGCAAATACTTTGTTATTTTCTCTATAAAGTTTTATTTACTTGCAGAGAAAATATATATGGTTTGCAATAATACTGTGACTCGTTAACTGAAATGTCTTTTTCTAACGGACTGACAAAACCTTCCTTCAGTTGGTATTTGGGGTGACTATGTTTTCTGTAGCTAAAATACAATTTATTGGGATAAGGGTTATGTAGAAGAAACCGATGTTGAGAGGTCACCAGCTTCTTTGTAGAGAATAAGTGACCTGAAAGCCTGCATTGAATGGAAACATGATTGGGTTTTGGACCTGATGGAAAAAGTGAGTCTGTAAAACTGAAAGACTTGAAGGAGAATTAATGAGACAGAACAATCTGGTATTGTCCTAGTGGTTACCAAAAGATGTGCTTACTTTTGCATATGGAGTTTGTGTTGGTGGACTCATCAGCCCTCATTAAATCTTGTAAGGGGTCAAAAACGTATTTTATTAAACAAGGCATTTTTGTTTATGATAGGTAGCATAAACTTGTGTGTGCAATACTGAGAATCAAGTAAAATTAAACAACATTCTGCTGTTCTTCTTTAGAAACATTCCTGCGTAAATACTGCAATAATACTGTCATGCAGAGTGTATCCTTTCTTGTTGTATCCTTTTTTGTGCAATGTTTCCCATAGCACTCAATTACCTCTTAAGTTTTACACCTAGAGTAGGTGTGGGGAGGAGTTTATACATTTTAGAATTTGAACTAATCTGGCAATTTTAAAAGCAAAGGGCACTTTTTTAGGGGGGGAAAAAATCAGGGTCGTCTCTGTTGGGTGAATAGATGCAATGAAGCTTCATAATCCTAAAAGGTAGCCTCCACCTTTTTCTTCAAAGGTTATATAACTTGATTTGTGATACAATTCCTTAGCTTGTATGGGCTCAAAGTGTTACACTGATGTGTGTGTAGCTGTGCTGAGCTCACATCGAGGATGTCTTGCTTTTCTTTAAATAAATATTGTATGTCACAAAGCCATTCTTACTGTTATTAAAGGGTAGGCAAGTGTCTTAGACCATTTGATTTCTGTTGTCCTGGTATATGAGAAACTGTATTGATTTTAGTCTGTACTTTCCTTTTTCTTTTTTGAGTAGAGAACAAAACCTAATAGTATCTCATAATGAAGTAATAGAGTTTGGCATTGAACTATTAATCACTGCTACTATTTTGTTTTTATTTTTTCTATGCACTGAGGTAGTGTATAGAACTTCTATATGAGTTATATAGCACACTGACTTATTTTTGTCTTGTGGATTTTGTATTATGTTATTGTTTAATTTACTGTAATATAAAATTAATACAGCCTGTATCTTGTTAGGTCAGATTTTTTTTTCAGATAGCAATTTTAGAATATTAAGCATCTTTCAATTTAGTTGTCAAAAGAAAGCATATTACTACTATTATTTGGCTGATCATACTTCTAACATGCCTTTGTGATGTTCCAGGTCCTTTTTGTGTCCAACTCTTTCAAGTATTACCAAGCTTGGCGAAGAAGCAGTGTAATCATCAGGACTCTGAACTGTGCGTAGTGCATTTCTAAAGTATTTAATGCAGAGTATAAATTTTCTCATCTTAAAGATTCAAAATGTGTTGAAACTGTCATGAGACTTATCCAATAAATGTATGTACGTTGCTTTTGAAATCTCTAATAAATTATTTCCTTTCTCTTAATTTTGCGTTTGTTTGTGGGGTTTGGGAATGGGAAGAAGGAGGACAATTTTTTTTGAAGAGGTAAAGAATCCAATTGTAATTGTACAACATGTTCTAGATGATTAACAATATGTGTTCATAGGCATGAGGGTGAATGTTCTCTTTGTTAAATCTGATGTTCAGTTGGTGCTGGTGCAGGGTATAAAAGGTAAGTAAATCTCTAAAATATCTTATTTTAGCATAAACCTTACCATGGAAACCAAACTGGACTGGTGCACTGGCATGAATTCATTCTGTGTAACTAGCTATTTTGATTTTTTTCCTTAATTCATTGTTTATTCACATTTTGAAAGATGCCACTAGTGCGACTAAAGTAGTTGAAACAAGTTTAACAGTTCAAACACTGGTTCATCAGGGCACCTACGCTGGTTTAACATGTTTAAAAAAATCAATGCGAAGGGCACAAAGTAAGATCTGTTTCGTACTGAGGCTAGCGCAGTTTTCCAAAATCACATGGGAAACATTGCAATGACACTTGTCGAGAAGGTCCAATAGATTTAAAGATTAAATTATTCTATAAAATATGAATTCACAAGTGATGGTGTGATAACATGCTAGTGTAAAGATGTTTTGCCTTATCCCAGTTGAAGACAGTCTAAATTGGCTGCTGGACCGAAAAATGCATTATGATAGCTGCTTTTCTGTATGATCTCAATTAACAGATACTCAAAAATGCCTTTACTTGAATTTTGATCAGTTTATTGCTGCATTCTTGTGTGGTCACTATACGTGTTTGTTAGTTTCTTACCAGTTTTTGGAGTAGTAGGCCAGGAACAATAAAACTACTTTATATGTGAGTGTCACAGGACAACAGCGTTCTTTGCATGTTGGATGGTAGAATGTCAACAGCCTGTTTCACAGATTTTATAACTCCACCTACTGATTATTAGTGTAATTAAACCTGAGTGGCATGCAAGCAATCTACGCAAGAGGAAGGGGGAAATGCCACTTGCTGTGTAGGCAAGGCACAATATTGGTACCAATTAATCTTATCTGTGGATGAACCACAGGTGGGAAAACTGGTGACCTCTTACATTCTTTGTCATGATGTCAGATGTGTTCTTTGCCAGGTGCTACCCCTGGCCAGCCAGCAAGAGCTGCCCCCAGTTGGCACTGGGGCACGCTGTAGGATTGCGGCTCCCTGCCCCTGGCACGATTGGCAGGATGATGTGAGGTGTGTCAGTCACAGCAGTGCCCCAGACCGAAGCGAGGCACGTTTCAGATGCTTCATAAATCTGACAGTCTTGATGTCCTCCTGAGGAGGCTGCTGTTCGGGCTGTCACGGGGCTGAGCTCAGCTCCCTTGGTGTAAGCGGCTTGTACGAGCCTGCTCTGCCAGCACCGGGGAGCGTCAGCCACGTCTGAGACCGTTAAGATGCGAGAAGAAAAGGGGCTTTAAATAAAATAAAACAAGTTTTCTGTGGCCTTCCCTTCACAACCAAAGCTGAGCAGGGTTCCCGCTGCCATTACGCCACTAAGTGCTGCCACGGGGGCGAGGCCTCGCGGGGGCGGGGCGGCCCCAGGCCTCCGTGCGCGTCCCTTCACGGGGCGGCCGGCGGGGCCCGGGCTGCTTGGCGGCGCCGAGCCGCGGGGAGCCCTGAGGAGCTCCGATGAACCGAGCCCCAAACGCTCCGTTTTTTCCCATCGCGAAGCAAGCCCCGTGCCACACAGGAGTGAACAAGCTGTGCCGGCGGAACACGCTGCGAGAGGCTGCGCGGAGCAGAGCTTCTGGCCGGAGGCGGGAGGCGGACAGCCTGGCAGCCCCTGCTTGGTCTGGGTGGGATATGCTGAAAATGCTGAGCTCTGCTTAGGCTGTGGACATCAGTGCGCATACCGACCTGTAATTCTTGTAAGTGTAGCACTGCAGTAACTTCTGCAATGTTTTCATACTCTGGTTTTAAGCCGTGTAAGAATTGTGGCTGCTTTTGGACTGTAATTCTGTAAGAAATTTTAGATACTGGTAATTTACGATTTTGGATCATGTCATATTAGTTTTTTTATTAGATAGATGACACCAGGTATGAAAGACAGTGATTAATTTAGTAATGCACGCTCTCATCTTCCACTTTTTTTTTTTTTTCCTTTTAAGAAAAAGAAAATACTATTATTAGCACTTGTGGTATTTTGGAAATGCCAGCGGAGTTTTGTACCACTGACTTTTAACCTGGCAGAAGACAAGTTGGCAGGCCACGGTAGAGTTGTTCAGGAGCAACAATCCCCTCCCATTTTCTCTCACTTGCAGCAGGTGCATCTCTGCCTGGCTCTCTCATCCTCCCAGTGGGAATGCAGACCTCTTCTCCCCCCCCCCACCCCCCTATTTCAGAAGCATTTTGAGGCTAGACCCTTCAGTCTGCTGGGGCTTCCAACACCTCCATTCCTGTGTTGCTGCTTGTACTGACACCAGAACAGCCCTAAGCCTTACTCCAAAGAAACCAGATGCTATATTCAGTCTCCTCTTTGAGCGCTAGGCCCTGGGCTATTTGTGTCAAAATACATTCCTACTGCTTTGTGTAATTTAGTTGTTGCTTTCTCAATGGTATTATTTACTTTAAGGAAACAAGGACATGGATCTGCTTCCCTACCAGTAAAATTCTACAGCTATCACTGATTATAACATAAGCACACAACAGGAAAACGTTACGTTAAACATTCAGTGGTTCTCAGGTTTGGAGTTGTTATGGTCGCTTCTGTATTTGAGGAGTCTTCAAGATTTGTGTTTGAATGGTGGACATCACGTCTATCATAACCTCCAAAATACCCTAATTTTCTTGGAAAGTCACGATAAGGAACATACGACTTTTCAAAGTCCTTTTTTAAATAGGCACAAGTCATAGTAATGGAGTATGGAAAAAAAAAAAGATGCCATGCAAGGATAAATAGCAACAGAGTATTATACATTAAAATGAAGAATGAAATGCCAGTTTCAGTCTATATAAACCACTCAATCCTTTGGTGTTTGTGAGTAGTTTCATTTTTATACTAATAAAAATACTACTTTGTGCATTAGAGACAGCCTATATTAAGCAACATCTTATTTTTATTTTAGAAAAATTAAGTTACCATTTGTACGTGAAGTTCATGTGGCTTAGATAAAACTAATTCTTAAACGGAATGAAAATCAGGTGAAGTTAAATAAATACGATGCCAAGGATTAACATTTAAAAGTAAATGCCTGTTCTGTAACGTGTACTTTACCCTCTTGCAGGAGAATAGATAAGCAGTAAGAAGAGCACAACTGGTCACAGAGCACACCATGGGTATCTGTTTTCTTCTGTTAATTGTAGGGGTTTGCTGGGCACAGTACAACCCCAACACTCAGGCTGGGAGGACTTCTATTGTTCATCTCTTTGAATGGCGCTGGGCCGATATTGCTCTTGAGTGTGAACGCTATTTAGCTCCTAATGGATTTGGAGGAGTTCAGGTATGTCTGTTCCTATCAGTAGGTAGTAAAATTGCTTCATTGATGGTAATTTCTTTTTCAAATGAAAATATTCAATTTACCAAAGGACAGGTACTGAAACAGAAAAAAAAAAGAATGAAAGAAATTGGTAGTGCAAGTAGTAAATGCTGGCAAATATATTCCTCAGCCATCATTGTGTTAGAGTGAATTTATTTCATCACTCCAAAGCACATGTTTTGCTCTATGTGCTATTATGTTTAAATGAATTAGAATTGTTTATCTCTGGCTAAACCTCTAAATCTTTTTTTTTTTTTATACTACTGTGAATAACCTAAACTTACCTGCTTGATATTTAAATCAAAAGAAGTGCTTAAGAACTAGATAAACATAAAATTAAACTATGACTAAGAAAAATGAGCTCCCAGGAAAAGTACCAAAGTGCTGAAGATTTCAAATAAAATGCTACTAATTCTGTTCACCCAAGCTGGCAAGCTTCTCTCTGCCTGTCAGAGTGTCCGAGTATGCCATTAAAAGGCCCAGCTTCACATCATTTCAGACTATTTGATCTGTGAGGCATGCAGTCCAAAAGATGATTAGGAAACTATGTCCATGGACATAATTTTTCTAATACGTTTCTAACTGTTGAACATCTGGGCCTAAGTCTTTTAATTGCAGCTCGCTACAGTTTAAGAAGAGGATACTGGGGATCTGTGTGGATTAAGTATTGTGAGTTGCTTCCATTAAAGGGACCTTGTTTTATATTTTTATGTTCTTTCTCTAACAATACTGAGCAAACATAATTAAACCGTTATTGGTATCCTGTTACCAAGAGACACCATCTTATTCACAGATCTCACCTCCAAATGAAAACGTTATTGTTGCTGACCCCTGGCATCCATGGTGGGAAAGATACCAGCCAGTCAGCTACAAGCTCTGCACACGATCTGGAAATGAAACTGAATTTAGAGACATGGTGACCAGGTGCAACAGTGTTGGAGTAAGTGCTTAGAAAACCTTGTGGTTTTTGTAGCGCTAGGATATAGACATCAGCTAATGTAGAAGGGAAGACAAGGTAGCTGTGGAGTAAAGATGTTTTTCTTCTATGAGTTGAGCTGTGTGTTGTACCACAACTCCCGTATATTAATAAAAGAAGTATCTTAAATAAAATGTTGAGGGAAGCAAGCAAGCAGAAATAGGAGGATATGGCAGGAGGTAAGAGAAAGATAACATTATTCAGATAGTAGCACTATGGAAAGTAACTTTCTTAAACTGAAACATGAGCATCATTCTGTAGGTGCATATTTATGTGGATGCGGTAATCAACCATATGTGCGGAGGTACTGCTGGTGCTGGCAACCATTCTACTTGTGGAAGCTATTTCAATGCAAAGACTGAAGACTTTCCAGCTGTGCCATATTCTGCTTGGGACTTTAATGATGGTAAATGTAAATCTGAAAGTGGAGACATTGAGAACTATCATGATGCATCTCAGGTAAAACCTAAAACTATAAATGCATTTTTATGTCAATCTGTTTCAGGGCTGTTATTTCTTTGCTCCCTTTTACTGTCAGACATATAGAAAATAAAACTCATGGAAAACTATCCTAATTGATAATAGAGGTTAGTGTTACTACCACGAACTCCACTTCTTTATCTAGAGCAAAGGGATAGCTCTACTTGAGCTAATGGCTCACCTTAAGATTTAAGTAATGTGCTTAGTTATTTTATAAGGACAGTTTTAAAGATTGTTAACTCTATTTAGGGATTCTTATTTGTGTTTTCTGTGCTTTAAAAAATATGAATTATTATTTACCCATTGCTATAATTTGGAAGCTTTCTTTGGTCTCAATTTCAGAAGAGAGAGATTAGGATTTACTAAAGAAAAACAGGCTAAAATATTGAAAACCAACTTTCTTTTTAGAGATTTCCCTTGCTAAGAAAGACCTCCTTTTGTGCAGATAAGGGGAGTCTGTCTGTTCCTGTGTATCTAATTATATGGTCAGGACTTTAAAACTACCACAGAACTGAAATTATTTTTTAAAGATAAATATGTGTTTTGCTTGAGCAATGTCATGCCTTTCAACTGTATTTAATCTTTCCTGAACCTAAGTTTAGGGGAGAGGAGTTTTAGGGAAATGGCAAAAGGGGGGAGATATAAATGTCTCTGGGATCTTGAGCAGCTGTAAAGGGTCATCTCTATTGTAGGTTCTTTAGTACAGGTTGCCACATAGGCTGATGTACCTTGCTGTTTCCACACAGATGTGTCAATAGCTGTGGAAACCCAACATAAGATTTATTAAACATTATATTATAAACATTAAAAACATTATAAACATTAAACATATTGAGTATACTGAAACACTTTTTTTAAAATACTCTTATACTCTTTTTGTGGAAATCTATGACCATCATTCTGTATTTACAAGAAACTAAGGCAAAAAAAGAGACAGAAGAGAAGAGTTTAATGTTTAGTAAGACTATAGAATTCAATATGTTTTAAAGATTTTGAAATATCATTTCCAGAAATCTTACCTGCATCACAAAAGAAGTAAGTGGGCTTGAAATAATAATGAATCCGCGTGTTAATACACTGGACTAAAAATAACATGATATTTTTGCCTTATACTTGCATTAAAAAGCTGATTATAGATTTAATTATGGCTCTCTGGTACATTCCTTCGTCACTTGCAGCTGTGTATGCTGGGCAAATGTAGGCTTTGTAATGCTCCTTCTACGTAGAGGACTGTCCATGATGTCAGTCTAGATGACTGTCCAAGGTGTAGGATATGCATGGTGAATGATGAACAGGGAAGGTTTCCTTTTGTCATTGTAACACAGAGAAATTCAAAGAAACATATGTAGAACATTAGATTTAGGTTGCAGGGTGAAAAATGTTTCATTTCGGAATTTTCATACAGGTCCGAAACTGCCGCTTGGTTAATCTTCTTGATCTGGCCCTGGAGAAGGACTATGTGCGCTCCAAAGTTGCAGAGTATCTGAACTACCTCATTGATATTGGTGTAGCAGGGTTCCGGATTGATGCTGCCAAGCATATGTGGCCAGAGGATGTGAAGGCAATTTTAGACAAGCTGAAAGACCTAAATACTAAGTGGTTTTCTGCAGGAGCCAAACCTTTCATTTATCAGGAGGTAGTCTCTATTTTCTTAATTGTAGTTTACATACGTCTTTTTTGCAGACAGAGTGTAGACTCAGTCCTGTACCTAAAGCAGTGCTTTGCTTGAGCTGGGCCTGAGCAACTTTCAGTCTTGATCTATAGAAAGTGATGTCAAGATTTAACAACCGTAATTTGAAATATCTAATTTGCCTGCAGAAGGTCATTTACGTGAAAAGTGCCTCAATTGTTTTGCACCTTTTAGAGCTAGTTAACCTGGAGATCTTACTGAGATGTAATTTACTGCATTGAATTAAATGTAAAAATTCTGTCAATCTCAAAAAGGTAAGATTTCAGTCTCAGAATTTTAAATTGTAAGTACATAAATTGCAACAGAGTATTATAAATGGTGATTACGTCTGAAATGGCAACTGATTGCATAATGGTCTGAAACTGTTTTCCCATGGCACAGCCAGTGTTCATTTCACATTCCCAATTTGTGTATGATGTTTGAGAAAGAAATCCAAGTAAGAAAAACAAAAAACAGATTCCAGTCAGTAAAAGCTAAAGTTGCCAGATACATTATATTAAAAATGTGTTGCCAAAAGATCTAAGGCAAATAGGTAATTGTCCTTTACGTATATCATGAAAAAAAGTAATGAGGTTACCCATGTGCTGGAGGCAGAGGTACTGGTGCTTACATTTTAGATAAAGCTCATGCAGCCCAAGCTATAATGCAGTAGTTATCAGACACAGTAAATAGATTGAGGATGGACATGCAAAAAAAAAATTGAGTGAGTTTGAGATAAAATTAACAAAATACCAATCAATGCAATATTGAAAAGAAATCAGATAGTAATATTAGCAAAAGTAGTGACTTTTCATTACCACTTTCTGTTCTAGTTGTAAGGAATGTTCTTTCACATATTAGGTAATTGACTTGGGCGGCGAGCCAATCACAGGCAGTGAATACTTTGGAAATGGCCGAGTGACCGAATTCAAATATGGCGCAAAACTGGGGACAGTGATCCGCAAGTGGAATGGAGAAAAGATGGCCTACTTAAAGTAAGGGCACCCATTGTGCAGCTTGCCTAGGATACGCTGGATGCGCAGCTTGGCGGGGTAGATTCAAGTCCTTGTGTTTTTGGCCAGGAACTGGGGAGAAGGCTGGGGCTTTGCGCCTTCTGACAGAGCCCTGGTCTTTGTGGATAACCATGACAACCAGCGGGGGCACGGGGCTGGTGGAGCTTCCATTCTCACCTTCTGGGACGCCAGGTAAGGAATGCGGGGTTGTCTGGCTGATGCCTCTTCCTCTTGCTGATTTGTTTGTCTCTTTGTTCCCCGGCACGCTTTCTCTTGCCACATCTCATTATGCTTTTGGCCCATCAGGCTTTATAAAATGGCTGTTGGTTTCATGTTGGCTCATCCGTATGGATTCACACGTGTGATGTCAAGTTATCGTTGGACAAGAAATTTTGTAAATGGGAAGGTAAGTTTGTAACGCTCAAGATTCAGGTTTGCTAAACTTCTCAAGTGATTTCTCTGTCCAATCTTGGATTGGGTGGGTGGAAATTAGGTGCGCCATCCATCCCGCTTTTTGCTCTGCGTTTTCCAGTAAGAACTTTCAAATGTCTCTTTTCAATAAAAGGACGTCAACGACTGGATTGGACCACCTAGCAACTCGGATGGATCAACAAAGTCTGTTACAATCAATGCAGACACGACCTGTGGCAACGACTGGGTTTGTGAGCATCGCTGGCGCCAAATAAGGTAGGAGACTGTGGAGCAAAACGCAGTAAAAGCAGTGACTTTTGCATGATGAGCCTCTTGGCTGTGGAGTCTTGCAACTCCAGTGACAGCCATTCCTGGCATTTTCAGGAACATGGTTATCTTCCGTAACGTGGCAGATGGCCAGCCTTTCTCAAACTGGTGGGACAATGGCAGCAATCAAGTAGCTTTTGGCCGTGGCAATAAAGGCTTCATCGTCTTTAATAATGACGACTGGTAAGTTGGTGGGAGAGACTGTATCCCCGAGGAGAAGCATAGCTCCCCAGCCGGAACGCTGAAAGGGCTCAGGTGTTGGGAGGGGGGATGTCCTTGAGCTAGAGCGCTGACAGGTGAATGGAGAACATGGAAAGCAAGGCTGAGGTGTCTGAGTGGAGCGTCTGAAGATGTACAGATTGCTCGTTAGCATCTTGAGCATCCCATTCCTGTGGTCTGCCTCACATACCGTGTCATCTCCAGTACACCCACATAGGAATTCACATGAGAAGAGGCGAGGCTGTGGACAGAGCAGTGCCCAAGGATGGAAGCAGTAGGAGCTGAAGTTTTGGTAGTTCTGAGCGGAGCAGGCACTCTCTCACTTCCCTCATCCAAACTTGCCTGTCCAATCCAGGCCAGTCCAAGCCCGTTCAACCCTAATGGATTGAACGCTCATCACAATTAGGATTACCTTTAGCAGCACGCGTCCTGTTGTGAAGCTCTTTTATGCTTTGATTTTGTCCTGTCCTTTTCTTCCAATGAGAACAACTCCTGCAGCCTGAGCGAGATTCACACAGTGGCCTCCCCAGTTCTGGAAAAGGAGTGCAGGGAGAGAAGCAGGGTCAGGCTCAGTAACTCCCTTGCATCGCATTGCCTTTCCAAGTCATGCAATAGCATCAGCTTCAGAATTCCTTTACCCAGTTGCTAATATCCCTTTTGAAAACAACAGAGAAGCGGCATTCACTGATTTTCACACAGGTACATGAACGTCAATTTGCAAACTGGTCTGCCTGCTGGTACCTACTGTGATGTTATTTCTGGACAAAAGGAGGGCAACGCGTGTACTGGAAAGCAGGTGTATGTTTCTGGGGATGGAACGGCTAACTTCCAGATCAGTAACACTGATGAAGATCCATTTGTTGCAATTCATGTTGATGCCAAGTTATAACTTCAATCAGAATTTGTTTCTCTCCTGTCGGTCTGTACGTATGCTCTTTCCCCCATTTGTGATTCCCTGGTGTTCAAGATCCTGTGACTCTCCGTTCCCAGTGAACAATAAATGGCAATCAAACTGAAGAGTGATGTCTTTCCTCCTAATGAACTGGGTCGTAGTAGCATTATCACGTCATAACTGGGGGCCATACCATTGGCAGCTCTTAAGGCTATCAAGAGAGCACTGCATTTCCCAGATCACAGAAACACAGAAGAAAATAAAAAATAAGACAAAAGAAGCCAGCACCTGAGCAAGTTAAAATGTTCTCTTTCCAAGGCTGATAGGTGCACGCATAGCCATAAGCTGGAGCAGGCACATTGGGGCAGGCAGCTGCAAGCAGTGCCTCTGCTTGCCAGCAGTATGTCCTTTCTCTGGGGCAAAGCCAATGTGGAGCCCAGGTCAGCAGATGAAACTTGGCTGAGCCAATCAGTTATTCCAGCCTTTGACATTAATCAAGCCAGTGTGTGGCCTGGTTCACACTCCGTTTATGTCCTTTAGCAAAGAAAAGATCCGTTCTCCCACTATTGTCCTCAGTGGCTTCCTGCAATTTAACAGTCATGCTGGCTGTTTCACAGGCTGTTCCACCTCTTTATTTATTTGCTTTTGCTTTTGTTTTTATGTTATTTTTGATGTTGGTTTGCTCTTTAGTGTTTTTTTTCATGCTCATGTTAACGTGCAGTCTGTCACTCACAAAGTGTGTGATTCTCTGCTTGCTATTAGATTAAACTTCCCTAACTCCAAATGTAAACATCTAGCCATTAAGATTGCATGCTCTAACCACCATACCTTTTGTGGAAAATGATTGAAATGACACACATCCACCTGAGGTTTCTGTAAGTATTAGGCAATAAAGGCATTTAGAATACAGAGAGGGATATATCCCTGCTTGTAATCATTCCTCAATCCAAATGTTCCATGATGTTTGAGTGCAGCATTTATTTTATGTGATGTAGCAATTGAAGAGTCAGTCTTTGCTGTCTGTTTCATTCTAGAATGTCAAAGAAAAGAAATCTTGTCACTGTCTTCTTAAGTGAATTCAAAATTTGGTCGCCAAACTGTTCACTGCTTTTGAAAGATCAGGCCTGCACCCAGTCCCTGGAAAGGTGTTGGAACAACTTGTTCTGGATGCTATCTCCAAGCAATTCAAAGACAAGAATGTTATTTGGAGTAGTCAGCATGGATTCACGAAGGGGAAGCCGTGCTCGACCAACCTCGTTGCCTTCTATAATGGCATCACCAGCTGGGTAGATAGGGGGAGAGCAGTGGATGTGATCTACCTTGACTTTAGCAAGGCTTTCCATACTGTCTCCCATGACATCCTGCTAGCAAAGCTAAGAAAGTGTGGGATAGAGGAGTGGACAGTAAGGTGGGTTGAGAACTGGCTGACTGGCTGAGCTTAGAGGGTGGTGATCGGTGGCGCAGAGTCCGGCTGGAGACCCGTGAGTAGCGGTGTTCCCCAGGGGTCGGTGCTGGGTCCGGTCTTGCTCAACATCTTCATCGATGACCTTGATGAGGGAATAGTGTCTGCCCTCAGCAAGTACGCCAATGACACAAAGCTGGGAGGAGTGGCTGACGCGCCAGAAGGCTGTGCTGTCATTCAGCAAGACCTGGACAGGTTGGAGAGATGGGCAGGAAGAAACCAAGTGAGGTTTAATAAGAGCAAGTGCAGGGTCCTGCACCTGGGAAGGAACAACCGCACGTATCAATACAGGCTGGGGGGCGACCTGCTGGAGAGGAGCTCTGAGGAGAAGGACATCCTGGTGGACGACAGGTTGACCGTGAGCCAGCAGTGTGCTCTGGTGGCCAAGAGGGCCAATGGGATCCTGGTGTGCATGAAAAGGAGCGTGGCCAGCAGGTAATGGGAGGTGATCCTCCCCCTCTACTCTGCCCTGGTCAAGCCTCACCTGGAGTACTGTGTCCAGTTCTGGGCTCCCCAGTACAAAAAAAAAGACAGGGATCTCCTGGAAAGAGTCCAGCGGAGGCCACAAAGATGATACAGGGCCTGGAGCATCTTCTCTATGAGGAAAGGCTGAGACACCTGGGTCTGTTCAGCCTGGAGAAGAGAAGACTGAGGGGATCTCATCAATGTGTATAAATACCTGAGGTGGGGGAGACAGAAGGATTTGGCCAACCTTTTTCAATGGTTTGTGGGCATAGGACAAGGAGCAATGGTCACAAGACAGAGCACAGGCAGTTCCGCACCAACATCGGAATGAACTTCTTCATGGTGAGGGTGACGGAGCGCTGGAACAGGCTGCCCAGGGAGGTTGTGGGGTCTCCTTCTCTGGAGATATTCAAGGCCCATCTGGACGCCTACCTGGGAAGCCTGCTCTAAGGAACCTGCTTTGGCAGCGTGGTTGGACCCGATGATCTTTTGAGGTCCCTTCCAACCCCTACGATTCAGTGATTCAGTGATTCTGTGACCCAGCGTTTGTGTTTGTTCCTTTTGTTTCAAGCTCTTTTTGGTACATATTTGCTTCCTAAAACAATACAAAGAAGGTGAAAAAAGCAAGTGTCTTCCTGAACAACAACAGGTCTTTGAGATGAGTCAGGAAACCTAGAGGTACTGTCAAGTTTATTGTTGATCTTCAGGTTTATTGTTGATCTTCAAAAACAGTTAGCACTGTTTTCTTCATTGTTATTTCTTCTGCTTTATATGCAGTGGCACCGTTAAGTCTTCATGCAAACTAATGCTCGTGCCGGCTGTTCCAAAGGTAAAAGAGAAATGTAGGTCTTTCTCAGGCATACTCAACTTAGACCTTGTGAACCAGTTGAAAGGCAGAAATCCTATTTGCATGTGTCAATATACAGTATTAATTCCAGTGGTACGTGCAGTGCTGAGGCCGAGTCTTTAATTTCTACATCACGTAAAATAAATGCTGCAGTCCAACAGGATGGAAGATTTGGATTCAGACATGATCACAAGCCAAGACATATCCATCTGACAGATGATGCCAAGCTGGGGAGATGTGTCTATCTGCCAGAGGGTAGGAAGGCCCTGCAGCGGGACCTGTACAGCTTGGATTGATGGGCAGAGGCCAAGGGGATAATGTTCAAGACGGCTAAGTGCTGGCTCCTGCCCTCTGGCCACAACAACTCCATGCAGCGCCACAGGCTTGGGGCCGAGTGGCTGGAAAGCAATTATTATTATAAGAGGATATGGGGGTGTTGGTCAACGCTCACCTGAGCACGAGCCAGCAGTGTGCCCAGGTGGCCCAGAAGGCCGATGGCGTCCTGTCTTGTATCAGGAATAGTGTAGCCAGCAGGACCGGGGAGATGATCGCTCCCTGTACTCTGCTTTGGCAAGGCCGCACCTTGACTACTGTGTTCAGTTTTGGGACCCTTAGTACAAGAAGGACACCAAGGCCCTGGAGCTGGTCCAGAGAAGGGCTACAAAGTTGGCGAAGTGTCTGGAACACAAGTCTTATGAGGAGTGGCTGAGAGAACTGGGGTTGTTTAGTCTAGAGAAGAGGAGGTTCAGTGCAGGCCTTACTGCTCCCTACAGCGACCCCAGAGGAAGGTGTGGGGAGCTGGGGGCCGGCCTCCTCTCGCACATTACTAGCGACAAGAGGGGATGGCCTCAAGTTGCACCAGGGGTGGTTCAAGTTGGAAATTAGGAGATATTTCTTCTCAGAAAGAGCAGTTAGGCACTGGAATGGGTTTCCAGGGAAGTGGTGGAGTCACCGTCCCCGGGGGTGTTCAAGGAAGGATTGGGCTTGGTGCATAGGGACATGGTTTAGTGGGTGACCCTAGTGGTAGGGGGATGCTTGAACAAGATGATCTGGGAGGCCTTTTCCAACCTTAATGATCCTGTGATTCCACGATCTCTGCATTCTGCATGCCTTTGTTGCCTGTTATTTATGGACACTTCAGGTGGATGTAGGTCATTTCAATCATTTTCCACAAAAGGTACGGTGGTTAGAGCTTGCAATCTTTATGGCTGGGCTTTTACATTTGAGGTTAGGTAATGTCTGTCCAATACTTTGCAGAGAACCATCCAGTTTCTGAGTGATAGACCTGAATGTCAACATGGGCCAGAACCAAAACTAAACAACAGTCAAGCAACCAACCAACCAAAACCAAAATCAACCAACCAAAACAAACAAACAAAAAACTTTACAACAACCTAGTTCAGCATGGAGACGAGCATACGCTCTGCTCCACTCTCTGTCAGGATATCCATTGCAAACCTGTCTTTTCCCCCTGGGATCAGGCCAGGCAGCACTCCTGCCCTGTTGAAAGAAGCTGGCTCCCCATTCCAGTTGCTGCTTGACTGCCTGGAGCCTGTTGCTTGCAGTGAGGGATAGCACAGGACAGCCCAGATGGCAGTGAAAGATTTTGGTCAAGCCACATCTTCACAGACAGCAAATGACTTAGCGTTATTTGCTTGGAAGAAAACAGTTGTCTTACTCATGAGATATGTTATGAACAAATTATCGATGGTCTCCATTTCCAGAGAACGCTTCCTTGCAAATGGATAACCTTTAATTAAGAGTGTTCACTTGTAACACTCGTTTTGATCAGAATAACCTTTGGATAGCTTGCAGTTTCTGCACTCTAAATTAGAGGTATCTGAGATAGTTTTCTTCTGATATTCTTTTGTTTTTATTCTTGTTTTTATGTGGTAGTGATTTTTTTTTTGTTTTTTTTTTTTTTGTTTTTTTTTTTTTTTGTTTTCCCTCTGCACAGCTCCAAAACTGTGAAGGTTATAGATTGATTTTAAAGTGCAGCTTGTCAAAAAACAGAGCTTTAAACTTTGTGCTGTTAGGGAGAGAGGAGATCTGCTAGCTGCAAAAATTAAAGGAAAGTTACTACCTCCATTTTTTAGTGTCCTGATCAAGGATGAAGTGACACAAACTTGTCCTTACATGCCAAGCCCCTATAGTGTCACAAGAAGCAAGAGATCGCAGTGGAATGGAAACTGAGACACAGCAGAGCTACTTCAACACAGAGACCACAGAGACAATATTATGCAGTGCTTTCACTATCATCAAGAGGACTAAGTGATGTTTGGCTATGCAGCTCACTTCATATTTACCAGTGGAACAGCCAGCATGGCTGATAGCAGCTGGGAAATGCAGTGCTCTCTTGGTAGCCTTAAGAGGTACCAATGGTATTGCCCCTGGTTATGATGTGATAATGCTACTACGAACCAGTTCATTAGGAGAAAAGACATCACTCTTCAGTTTGATTGCCATTTATTGTTCACTGGGAACGGAATGTCACAGGATCTTGAACATCAGGGAATTGCAAATGAGGGAAGCAGCATATGTACAGACGGACAGGAGAGAAACAAATTCTGATTGAAGTTATAACTTGGCATCAACGTGAATTGCAACAAATGGATCTTCGTCAGTGTTATTGATCTGGAAGTTAGCCATTCCATCCCCGGAAACATATACCTGCTTAAGAGCTATAGAACTAGGGTGCCACTGCGTGAATCTAGCTCAGGCTGTAGGAGTTGTTCTCATTGGAAGAAAAGGACAGGACAAAATCAAAGCATAAAAGAGCTTCACAACAGGACGCGTGCTGCTAAAGGTAATCCTAATTGTGATGAGCGTTCAATCCATTAGGGTTGAACGGGCTTGGACTGGCCTGGATTGGACAGGCAAGTTTGGATGAGGGAAGTGAGAGAGTGCCTGCTCCGCTCAGAACTACCAAAACTTCAGCTCCTACTGCTTCCATCCTTGGGCACTGCTCTGTCCACAGCCTCAGCCTCTTCTCATGTGAACTCCTATGTGGGTGTACTGGAGATGACACGGTATGTGAGGCAGACCACAGGAATGGGATGCTCAAGATGCTAACGAGCAATCTGTACATCTTCAGACGCTCCACTCAGACACCTCAGCCTTGCTTTCCATGTTCTCCATTCACCTGTCAGCGCTCTAGCTCAAGGACATCCCCCCTCCCAACACCTGAGCCCTTTCAGCGTTCCGGCTGGGGAGCTATGCTTCTCCTCGGGGATACAGTCTCTCCCACCAACTTACCAGTCGTCATTATTAAAGACGATGAAGCCTTTATTGCCACGGCCAAAAGCTACTTGATTGCTGCCATTGTCCCACCAGTTTGAGAAAGGCTGGCCATCTGCCACGTTACGGAAGATAACCATGTTCCTGAAAATGCCAGGAATGGCTGTCACTGGAGTTGCAAGACTCCACAGCCAAGAGGCTCATCATGCAAAAGTCACTGCTTTTACTGCGTTTTGCTCCACAGTCTCCTACCTTATTTGCCTCCAGCGATGCTCACAAACCCAGTCATTGCCACAGGTGGTATCTGCATTGATTGTAACGGACTTTGTTGATCCATCCGAGTTGCTAGGTGGTCCAATCCAGTCGTTGACGTCCTTTTATTGAAAAGAGACATTTGAAAGTTCTTACTGGAAAACGCAGAGCAAAAAGCGGGATGGATGGCGCACCTAATTTCCACCCACCCGATCCAAGATTGGACAGAGAAATCACTTGAGAAGTTTAGCAAACGTGAATCTTGAGCGTTACAAACTTACCTGCCCGTTTACAAAATTTCTTGTCCAACGATAACTTGACATCACACGTGTGAATCCATACGGATGAGCCAACATGAAACCAACAGCCATTTTATAAAGCCTGATGGGCCAAAAGCATAATGAGATGTGGCAAGAGAAAGCGTGCCGGGGAACAAAGAGACAAACAAATCAGCAAGAGGAAGAGGCATCAGCCAGACAACCCCGCATTCCTTACCTGGCGTCCCAGAAGGTGAGAATGGAAGCTCCACCAGCCCCGTGCCCCCGCTGGTTGTCATGGTTATCCACAAAGACCAGGGCTCTGTCAGAAGGCGCAAAGCCCCAGCCTTCTCCCCAGTTCCTGGCCAAAAACACAAGGACTTGAATCTACCCCGCCAAGCTGCGCATCCAGCGTATCCTAGGCAAGCTGTACGATGGGTGTCCTTACTTTAAGTAGGCCATCTTTTCTCCATTCCACTTGTGGATCACTGTCCCCAGTTTTGTGCCGTATTTGAATTCGGTCACTCGGCCATTTCCGTAGTACTGACTGCCTGTGATTGGCTCGCCGCCCAAGTCAATTACCTAGTAGAGGAAGCAGAAGATAATCATATTTTCTGGTCCCACAGAGAGAAAAAAATTGCTCTCCCTTCAGCAGGTGGTGGTCTCTCCACTGGCCCTTTATACTCCTGCAAGATAACAAAGTTCCTTTTGCAGTTGTAGATTTCTCACAGATAAACACTATCAGTTATTGTTTGGCTTGCAAGCTGGGTATCACTCTTCCATTCTGTTTTTTTTTTTTTTTTTTTTTTTTTTTTCCCAAATTGCCCCACAGCTGAAGATAAAACACCTTTTCACAATATTTATGCCTTATCATTAAACAAGCAGTCTGTGCGCAGTTCACCCAATTTTGGCACTGTATTCTTTCAAGTCATATAAACTAAGATAATGTATCAAAATTTGGCCCAGGCATGACGTGTGGACCCTTGAGGGGAGCTCTGGAACGTGGCAGGGAAAAGGAAGGGAGGGGAGGGAAGGGAAGAGGAGGGAGGAGAGGAAAGGGGAGGGGAAGAATTAAGAGATAAGTGGAACTCCAATAGGTCTCAGAGAATGAAAGAATTCAGAGGCATTCAGAGGCATCTAGCACTCAGGATTAATCCCAGCTAACATCTGGCTACTAGACCAGCCTCTCTCAGTCAATAGCTGAAGCATCACACAACACGTTGTGAGGCTTGAGCAGCTGAATAATGTACCTTTAACTTAATACAAGTCTCGAGGGAATGGTGTTTTAAAATTTGACCATGCATTGGGTTCGGCTTGGTCATAATGACAATCAATAGGTTTGTTCTCACTATCCTCATAATCACAATTTGTAATCACCTCACTGGTTGCTTGCTGTTGGAGTGTAGACAAGGTCGTGTGGAGCTGGTGTATATTTTTGTAAGAATGAATTGAGCCCTTTTACTTACGATGTTAGAATCCTTATTCCCTCTTGCTCCCATTTGGAACAGTTTGTCTTCTACTGTGACAGTACTGAAGATAGAAACCAATGAACCAAAGTTCCCACCAATCAATGTGACATTGCTGTTAGTTAAAATAAAGGCAGTTTACTGTTTCATTTGTTTGTAGTTGAAAAAGACCTCTTGTAAGTTCTATGATAGGAAAATGAACAGATAGGCAAGCGGGACCTGCTTTTGCACTTCATCCTTGAACACAAATTCTGGGAAAGACAAGAATGTATCTGACACATATAGAATGTCATGGCTAGTTTAGAAAGGATATACTCAAGGCAGTTCAGGTACAAAATGTAATGACATTTTCTCTTGGAGTGGATATGCCTGTTGGTGGACTTCTTGCGTTTCTCACAGTTATTCACTAATTGTCAGGGATTTTCTGGTTTTTGAATTCTCAGAGTGCTGTTTTATCATCGGCCTGACTCCAGCTTATTCTGAGTGTTGTACTAGGAACTTGACGTTATATATTCATTCCAAATGAGATCCTCATATCATATCACAAGGGAAAGCGGGAAGGTCTTTGAAAGAGGAAATAGCAGGAAAATCCAGAACAGGCTTAGGCAATGGATCCATTTGGCTTTCCAATTCATTTTTATGACAGACATCAAAAATTCACCTGCACTATCTCTTTACATCTAATTTTGCATTTCCCTCCTTGACTATGTGAAATAACAGTAAAAAACATAAGGCCAATTTCCAATTACCAGTGTGATTCAGCTGTTCAAGTCTCACAACGTATTGTGTTTGTCAACACGCTAGTCAATCTGCTATTGACTGAGAGAGGCTGGTCTAGTAGCCAGGTGTGAGATTGGATTAATCGTGAGTGCTAGATGCCTCTGAATGCTGATGAATTCATTCATTCTCTGAGACCTATTAGAGTTCCACTTGTCTTATAATGCCTTTTTTTTCATGTTCCAGAGCTCCCGTTGAGGGTCCACGTGTCACGCCTGGGCTAACTTCTGATACATTATCTTTGTTTATATGACTGGAAAGAATACAGTCCCAAATTTGGGTGAACTGCGCACAGACTGCCTGGTTTATGATAAGGCATAAACATTGTGAAAAGGTATTTTATCTTCAGCTGTGGGGCAATTCAGGGAAAAAAACAAAATGGAAGAGTGATATCCTCTCACTGCCCAAACAATAACTGATAGGGTTTATCTCTGAGAAATCTGTCAGCTGCAAAAGGAACTTTGTCATCTTGCAAGAGTATAAATGGCTAGTGGAGAGACCACAGCCTTATGCTGAAAGCACCATGCAATTTCTCCTTCTCCTCGCAGCCGTAGGGCTTTGCGGAGCGCAGTACAACTCCAACACTCAGGCTGGGAGGACATCTATTGTACATCTCTTTGAATGGCGCTGGGCCGATATTGCTCTTGAGTGTGAACGCTACTTAGCTCCTAATGGATTTGGAGGAGTTCAGGTACGTGTTTTCCTGCCCATAGGTAGTGAAACTGCTTTGTAACATTTGATTAATAAACCACAGAAGGCCAGAATCAGAGACAGCCAGCTCCAAGTAACTTTGGTGTGGAACGTGGGGATGGAAGTAGTAAATGCTGTTAGGCGCAACCAGAGATCCTGCCGGCCTGGGTAGGGTGTCTCTCCATCAGACCAGCTGCAAAGGTGCACGCTTTCCCGTGACGGGCTTCCCTTGGAAGGCTAAGTTTTCCTCTTCCCTTTTTACTGAGGCAAGTGTCTCAGCGTGGAGGTTTGGCTTTCCGAAGGATGTCTCTATTGCAGACAAAAGTAGTTCCTGTGGCTTCAGCCCTCCCATGTGCGTGCCCTTGGACAGCAGGCCCAGGCTGGACATGGGCAGCCCATGGGAACAAAAGAGAACTTCCTTGTTACCAGTCTACAAGACGGACATCTCACAGACCCCAGCTTGTGCTGCAGGGAGGGAGAGAGAGCAAGAGAGACCGGGTCCGGCGCAAAGCCTGTCTCTCATGGGAATCCAGGACTAATCTTGGTGCACGTTTTGCACTTTGAACTTGAAACAGGAACTACTATTTTCTTACTGAGGTCCGTCATCTCATCTGCAGGTTTCTCCTCCAAATGAAAATATCGTCATTACTAACCCATTCAGACCCTGGTGGGAAAGATACCAGCCCATCAGCTACAAGCTCTGCAGTCGATCAGGAAATGAAAATGAATTCAGAGACATGGTGACCAGATGCAACAACGTTGGAGTAAGTGCCTTTAAATCACGTAACTGAAACAGCGAGCAGTGTGGTTTCAACTGAGGGACATCACTGCTCCTGTCCTCAAAGGAGGCATAAATGAAGAATATGAAAGGGGAAAAAGGGTCGAATTAACAGTGATGCGGTAAAGCTCTGACTGTTGCTCACCAGCACCTCAAAGCATACTGAAGTGCAATCACTACGTTTCAGGTTTATATTTATGTGGATGCTGTCGTCAACCACATGTGTGGGGCTGCAGGTGGCTCAGGCACGCATTCAACCTGTGGAAGCTATTTCGACGCTGGGAACGAAAATTTTCCAGCAGTGCCGTACTCTGGCTGGGATTTCAATGATGGCAGATGTCACACCTCAAATGGAGAAATCCAGAATTATGGAGATATGTATCAGGTAAATTTCTAAGGGAAAACTGTGAATTCTTTTTTAACCTGTTCTATAAACACTACTGTAAGGCGAATAGGTGGAAATCATAAGGGAGTAGGTGACCACAGATTCAGCACTTCGCCACCTGACCAGTGAATACAGTGGTGAGCGTCATAGATTTGTCTTCAGGGAAGGTACTTGTGGTGCACAGTATTGTAGGCACTGAGAAATCACAAACCTGCCCCACATGTTTCACGTGGGCATGCGCAGGACTGTGCGCCTGAACTAATGGAGCCCAAAGCACTCAGCTCCTCCAGTGAGCTCTTCCTTACAGCTGCTAAACTCAGCTGAGCCTGATAAGGTGCCTCCTGGAAAACTGGCAGCAGTGCAAGATGCTACCCTGGCTGCGCACGGTAGTCTTTTTGTACATGGAATGTGTGGCGGGTCTTTCTCAAGTTCACAGCTCAGCCTTCATCAGCTTTGCAATGATACGTTGTGCAGATTTCCATCTGGAACGCTGATGACATCAAGATGGGGAGGTGATATTTCACTGACCACTGCTTTATAAGCTGCTGCATGGAGTGAGACCACAGTGCTCTTCATTACCTTGTCCTTTGTCCTTTGTCCTTTGTCCTCTCTCCTCTTTCCTCTCTCCTCTCTCCTTTCTCCCATTTCTTTTGTTGTTTTCCTCTTCCTCTTCCTCTTCCTCTTCCTCTTCCTCTTCCTCTTCCTCTTCCTCTTCCTCTTCCTCTTCCTCTTCCTCTTCCTCTTCCTCTTCCTTTTCCTTTTCCTTTTCCTTTTCCTTTTCCTCTTTTCCTTTTCCTTTCTACTTTCCTTTGTCCCCCATACTTTACCTCTTTCCTTTCTACTTTTCGTGTTCCTTTACCTTTATCCTTTCTCCTTCTCCTTTAACTTGCTCTTTTTTTCCTTTCACAGGTCCGTGACTGTCGCTTGAGCGGTCTTCTTGATCTGGCCCAGGAGAAGGACTATGTACGCACAAAAATTGCAGAGTACATGAATTACCTCATTGATATCGGTGTAGCAGGCTTCCGGATTGATGCTGCCAAGCATATGTGGCCTGGGGACATCAAAGCATTTCTGGACAAGCTGAATACTCTGAATACTCAATGGTTTCCTTCAGGAACAAAACCGTTCATTTACCAAGAGGTAATCTCCATGAATTTCCTTTCTGCCTCTCTTTGTGCATGTGTCTTTTCTACCTTCCTCCTCCTGAGGAGTGGCAGTGATGCCATGGGCCTGTTCCTACACACCAGGAAAGGCTGAGCTCCGCAGTCCAGCGGGCGAGTGATACCTGCCCTTCAGAAATGCAAGACACCTTGAAATCTACGAGGGGATTTCTAATGGTCAACTAACTAGGAGATGGTAGGCGGCAACTTAGGGCAACTCTACAGCCCCATCTTCCCACATGGTTACAACATGTATTGTACCAACTTTTGGTTGATCTGCCCAGCAGAAACGGACGTGCTGGGCAATGCATTTCTCTCAAGCTAAAGGATGAGGTAAAGTTGCTGCCTGAATGCAGCAATTTTGTCTATGTGGGTCCGGAATGATTACCTTCTGCTTGCTGTACTAGGTAATTGACTTGGGTGGCGAGCCAATCACAGGCAGTCAGTACTATGGAAATGGCCGAGTGACCGAATTCAAATATGGCGCAAAACTGGGGACAGTGATCCGCAAGTGGAATGGAGAGAAGATGGCCTACTTAAAGTAAGGGCACCCATGGTGTAGCTTGCCTAGGATACGCTGGATGCACAGCTTGGTGGGGTAGATTCAAGTCCTTGTGTTTTTGGCCAGGAACTGGGGAGAAGGCTGGGGCTTTGCGCCTTCTGACAGAGCCCTGGTCTTTGTGGATAACCATGACAACCAGCGGGGGCACGGGGCTGGTGGAGCTTCCATTCTCACCTTCTGGGACGCCAGGTAAGGAATGCGGGGTTGTCTGGCTGATGCCTCTTCCTCTTGCTGATTTGTTTGTCCCTTTGTTCCCCGGCACGCTTTCTCTTGCCACATCTCATTATGCTTTTGGCCCATCAGGCTTTATAAAATGGCTGTTGGTTTCATGTTGGCTCATCCGTATGGATTCACACGTGTGATGTCAAGTTATCGTTGGACAAGAAATTTTGTAAATGGGAAGGTAAGTTTGTAACGCTCAAGATTCACGTTTGCTAAACTTCTCAAGTGATTTCTCTGTCCAATCTTGGATCGGGTGGGTGGAAATTAGGTGCGCCATCCATC